TGGATTATTTCAAGGGAATAGTAGGAGACTGTAATCGGTTTTGTTAAATGTTACTTTTATAAGCATAAGGTGAAGAAATAATCTACACATTTGTGGCAAACGAATGAGGCTGAAAATTTTGAAAGCACAAATCTACAATAAGTCCTAATGAGGGCTTACTTGTGAAAGATAAAAAAACGTGCCGCAGTAGTGAATCATGAGCGTGCCCGGCGGGCAGCAGCGATGCGGCGATGACGCAACCACTCCGCATAATGAGTCTGCCGCCAGTTCGTGCATGACTCATGCAGCGTTGGCCATGGCAACGTCCCCGATTAAGGCCAAAGCAAAGTGCGCAGGCGCTGTGTTGGGCGTGCATGCAAGCGCGTGGGCGTGCACACGCGGTTTCTTAAATCCAGTCTTTCGACCCGCTTGGAACCCGAGGAGAAACTCGTCGCCGTGTTTTTTAACTGACTCTCACAAAACAAATAATGGAGAGATGTATGTAAGTGCGCAGCCTACCTACGCGCATCCATTAATCACAAAGCTGAAGGAGGTCTTGTGCATGGTAGCTTTTAAGGGAAACTGGGGCATCAAAGCATCAATATACGCCGATGTTGCGTGTACTGTCTCGATGCCTTATCCAGGATGGTGCTTTAATGAGAAGGAAAGTGATGCATGAAACATAGAACAGATTTTGTATAACTTTCATAGACTGATTTATGACAGTTGACCAATGGACATACTCTTTGGAGGACGTGGTAAAGTCTTTGACAGCATTTAGCAATTTGCAATTTAAAGATGTGAAAATAAGCAATCGAATTTAAACCCAGGGCTTAGCCAACTTTCTTCCTGCTAAGTTTATTCTTATCTTGGAATCGGATCTAATGTAGTAGAAAGGCAAGGCACAATTGGAACTAAGGGAAAAGACTGGAGAGATTTTCCTCTTGCATAATTAGAGTATATTTCACCCTTCTAGTCCTTTGTTTGTCGGTAACTTTGAAGATAAACTGGCTTCCTAAATTGCAAATCGAAACTCTTGATCGTTGGTCAAATTTATTGGCCACAGGCTAAGTCTAACAACCATTTCCAAACAAATTGACTAGTCCATAAAATGGAACTCCTCAAAGTTGCTTTAACGATTAAGGCTTTTTAAAAGACATGGCATTCCTCCTTCTCACGCGCCATATACATATGATTTCGACAGAATGTGGTCGGTATACCAATTATTCACTGGATTGAACGTAGTCCAGTTTGAATTTTTAAGCCAATTGCGATGCTAGAGTTTTAGTACGGATAAATAAGCGGTGCCCTCACGACATTGCAAGCTTAAGGCAAGCCCTGCATCATGGTGTGAATCCTTAAGTCCATAAGAACTTTTGCTAATTGAAGCCGAAGAAGGACTAGGGCGTGATAACACAAAACAACGAAAGAGGCTTTACAGCAATAATTACCACTCGTGCCAAATCCCTCATTCATATGTCTCCTCAGTTTGTTTTAAGGTCCTACTTCCTTTTCCTCCATGGCAATGGCTCTTTTTACGTATTGTCGAGATGTGGGCATCATTTGCAGGTGAGTTCCACGTCGTACATTTAAAGTGGTTTTCGAGACCGAAGGTGAGGTCAAGAGGGGACATAATCCAAGCATCAGGCACACAGGGCCATTAAGTCCTGTTGCCTGCAAAATCCAGTGTTAGCTGCTACTGCCTGCTCCCCTGCAAACGCCTGCGGGCTTTCGAAGTCATAAAACCCGTGAGCGATTAACCGTCTCCAATATCCGACAGCATTTAACTCTGACGAAACCACCACAAAAGATGAATTAAAACGCGCCAAATTTATCCGCTTTCTTGAAAGTCTCAAGATAAATGTGACACAGGATTTGCATTCGTGGGGAAAACTTTTCCAAAAGATTTTGCGGAGGATGATGCAAACAAAAGCCAGTGTCGGAGCAATGCGTTAAAGACGAGGAGAAAGCGCTCCCCTCAGTTGAGAAAACTACATTAAATTAGAAAGCGGATGGATCAAAGAATTGTTGAGGGTGAAGTGCTTAAACTGTATAATTAAAACACCGAAGATAATTACTCCCTTTTAGACGAGGGCCAAACGCGAGGCAATCAGAGGTAATTACGGTGCGGTTGGTGCAAAACGCGAACAAAATTGCTCAGTAATAAATGGCCTCAGCTCTGCTTGACCAGACAATGCCAACCACTTAAAATGCTTAACAATTAATACATTACCTATTGTCTCCTCGTAAAACGACATTTGTTCGAGTTCATTTGCACTTACGAACGTTGAAGTTGGGTGATTTGAGTGAGTGATTTCGAGGGTCAATGCCATGCAAGACCTGCCATATTGCATCCTTTTATTCATCTCAACTCATCACCTGCAATCTTATGGGTGATTATTCATTTTTTTGCAACCCTTTCACAAATGAGTGTTCTTTAAGTTCCTTTTATAGGCCCTTTAAAAATGCAACGTTATCCACATAAGGATTTTTAATTGTGAAAATGTCCTCTCCTTCGACAACAATTTTGAGGAATCGAAAAGTGGATTACTACGTATTTTCCAATGCAAAAAAGGAGATATTTAAAAGTTTTTTTTGGCGTTAAGTTCTCCCAGCATTTGGTGAGGTGTTCGTGTCAGTGCCTTTCTGTTTATGTTGACGTCGCAAGTTGTGGGTGATGCTGTGAGCACTTGGCAAATTCACCAGTGAATTTCATCACTCTCATCACTTCTGAAGTAGATTCGGAAATAATTTGAAATGGTTTGGTCAAATGAAAGCACTGTAGAGCTCAGTTGCGCAGAAGGATGCAACTTCGTTCCCGGATTTTAACAAAACTTGAGGCCAAGGTATGGCAAGTCCGGTGATGGGCGCCCTCATTTTATTGCCGTTATTCCGTCTGCAGTGCTTCGGACTGGCGAACCGGTCCCTGGATCATGCAACCAGCCTTGATCTCCTCTTCTTTGCCGAATGTACCCATGTTCAGCCTTGAGATGCTAAAACGAGAGTCGCTAAGTGCTAATAACGTCAAAAATACGCTTAATACGACGATAAAGGATTCGCTTTGCTGTTTGTGACAATCAATTAATTTGACCACATGCTGATGAGTTTATTGTTAAAAGAAAGTCAGTTGCATTTCCTTGATAACAAGCCTTGTCAATTCTACTTACTCCTGCCCTACTTTCCTACACTTTCCTCATTTAGTTAAAGAGCGATCAAAAAGCTTCATTTTGCCATCAAAGGCTTGAGTCAATTTGGAAACTAATCGCCAAGCATAGACTTTGTTGTCCTTTCAAAACAATTCTTTACCTCAGTCTAATGAGTTTGAAAGTCCCCTTAAGATCCATCCCTTTGCAATACCTTGGAGGTGTAGGCGATAGAGGGTCAACCATCACATTTTTGAAGGAGGTAATTACTTCTGTACAAGATCCTTCGAAGGCTGGGATTATGATGGTCGAGAATTTAGGATCAAGTGTTTACGGAGGCAATTTTTGTGTTGGTGAGTCGGGGACCACCGCAACTGTAAATACCGCTGACAAACGATTTTACAGACTGTTTCATGTACGCATTCGCTGTAAATTAAATGACAATCTTCTTTGATCCACAAAGTAGGGACCGATTTATACCAACGATTTACATCAGCCTACCTCAAGTTATTGAAAGCACACCTTTAAAAAATAGAGGTTTTGGCTTAAAAACTAATTCACCCCTTCCACTTTCTGTCTAACGAAGTTTCAGTTGAAAATAGGTCATTCGTACTTGCGAATCTAGCAAGCAAAAACGACAGTCCAAAACGCATGGTCAGATGATGTCTTTATGGTAGTGACCACCAGGTAGAGGGAGAAGCAAGGGGTGGGAGACCACAGAAGTGAATTTTAACGAGCTTAGCAGCGACAGAATCATTAATGTAGGTCTAGTTGCCACCGCCTTATGGCACTGACCCTACCTCCAGACACAAATGCCATATCTTGCCAGCAGTTCACCTGCTTGCAATGCCCACCCACTTCAAAGGGGGGAGGGGGGAGCAGTTGCTTTGCCCTGCCGTTTTAAAATCAGTTCAGCCCATAAATTGCGCACAATGTTCAACCCCCTTACCTCGGATAGCATTTGAAGCTGGCTGGAGACGCCCGACGCACATGAAAATGCAATTTTTGTCTTCGCCACAACTACACTTAATTTTTTTGTTTCCAAAAAACTGCCCGAGTTGCTGAAGGCCAGCACCCAAAACTAAATTGTCAACGATGGCACTTCGATGTGGTAAAAAAGGCAGATTCCCTGTGAGTTATAGCTTACCTTGAAAACTAAAATGTCCAGCTACAGGGATGAGTAGAGAATAAAAATCTTCTTTTTTATTTAGTAAGTCCGGTTTCCCCTCACACACGAGCCGACATCTTGTCTATTTGACTCCTACGAAGAAAACTAATGACTCAAAGATCGTAACATTATGCAGGCAAAATAAAATTAAGCCTGCAAATCAAGCACACACACCCGATCTACGGCGAAGTTGGGTCTAACCAGCGGGGAGCTCACATTACCAAACCTTATAACGTAAGTTTATCGCAAAACTCAAACTTACAATGCGCCCGAATGTGGTGCCGATAGGAGTTGCGCGAGTCATTCATATTTTTACGTCAAAATCATTGACAGGTAAGTTCAATACATATTATTTAATTTTTAACTAAAGTGCTTAACAAATTCGTAATTAATCATTTAGCTCGGCTTGGGAATTGGGTCAACCAACTCTCAAAGCCCAAATGTATTGTTAAGAGAGGCGCTCAAAAAGGCACAGGAATAGGAGCAAGAAGGAATGATTGTCAAGGCTATGTACAACGGCCAGGCATGGATGCAGCTACTCGTGTACAATGCTACTGTTTTACCGCCTCCACCCTCCAGTAAAACTATTTGAAATTGCTTTCACGTGATATTGCGAGGTGGTAGTCTGAGTAGCTCAGACAATATTTCCAAAAGCTAAACAACTCAACTGCCCTCATTATCTTAAAGAATTTGTATCACTGGCCTCGAGGATGACAGGCCTGCCATACCCTGGCCCACCCCCTCCTCCTTATGAACAATGGGACCTTTGTGCATGTTGTCAGAAGGACCGTGGGGACAACATGGACTGGGTCGAGTCGTTGCTGGAAGAGCATGCAAGCATGCACATGCACAGACGCATATTCAGGGCCGATGACCTCGCACAGAGCGTGAGTAGTTCCCACGGTGTCTCTGAGATAGCAGCTCCACGTCTGCAGTCCCTTGTGTTCACTTTTCTCACGAATCCGCAAATCGGGTCATGGGAGGATATGAAAACTGTGTTCAATGGCTTGTAAATCAGGCCCACCTAGTGCCAGTGGCATAAAGGCGCACTAAATGAAAGTATTATTAAGTCATTTCTGCAATAAATTTGTGCCATTGTCAACACGTGACAATGAACAGAGAAATTTAAATAAGAAGCTAAAAAATTATTTGCACAGTTTTCAGTCGACCATAACATCAGATTTCATGCTTTGATATTGAGATTTCATTAACCACCATTTTGCGGTGGTTGAAATGGTAAAATTTACACGATGTTTTGTAGGTAAACGATTTCCTTTGCTCCTTTCTTACTGGGAGGAATAAAGAAATTCTCAATGTTAAGCATTTTTTTACAGGTATAAACCCGCCTGTTTTGATTAAATGGTCCACAAAGGGCACCATAATTCCAAAGCTAGTAGATAAATGTCCTGTCTAGGGGATTTTAAAGGTAAAATTTATTAGTAACAGCCATTCTTCCATAATTTGGCCTGCATTTGCTAAAATGCATTGAGGTAGGAGCCTTTCAAGTGGACAAGGAAACTGCGTAGTCGAATTAAAGGTGGCAACAAATGTTGGGATTATCGTGTACACCTCAGGGCTGATGAAAATGAGGGTAAGACACTTCCATACTACGACAGCACTTCTCTCTGAGAGGATTTCAACCTTTCTGTTACGCATGAGGAAAGGTTGGAACACTAAAGTGAGGCTTCAAAACCGTTGCTAATGAAAGTGCAAACTAAAAACCACATCTTATTTCTCCTAACTACAGCGGGTACACTGTAATGTGTGCGACGAGTAATTTGATTTGGAAGAAAAGCAACGACATCGAATACCCCGCAGTTTAGTAGAGACAGCAAGCAGAAGAGGCGTTATAAGGGGACAACTGATGCTCTGTAGAGTACAGGGGAATTTTTCTTCTCTATCCCCCATAAACGCAGTGACTCACTTCAACCAGCGATCAGGCAGGCGAGAAAAAAGCCACCATTGCAAACACACTGCCCGCGTCGGAGAGCAGATTAATAGAGACATCAGAAATGGGACGAGTTTAAATCTGACAACCAATTAGTAAGTTTAGCCAAAACATTTCCCAACTATTGAATGGGAGGCTGAAGTTGCTCGTGCGAAGGAGAAATGATTGAGTGATGCCGTAATTGGATCTAAGGACAATTGCACATTTTGGAAAAGTCATGAACCGATGAGATTGAAGTTACGTTTCCAGAAAAACGTAAAAGGATTTTATTTAACTGAAACCCCAAATTCGGTTAATTTAAAATACTGAACAGCAAAAGTATCGGAAGGCATGAAACATTCTGCACTGTTTTGTGACTCAGTAGCCACGTGTCCCAAACTATCACTCTGTTTGTCATTTTTCCAGCTTAATTAACCATTTACTAACCTTTCCATCCCTCTATTTACTTAATTTTGTCCGTCTGCGTTTCACCTGCAAAGAATTTGAAGCAATCCGTACATGCACAAAACTACTTATTCAACTTCTTTAAAACCATTTGAGACAGACTGGGCTAGTGACTCAGTGGGAAGAAAGCTCTGCTCCTATGCGTCCGTGACAGCACAAGACCTCACACTCCATTCCGCCAGAAGAGAGAGCCATGACAATATTCGTCCTTTGTTGAAAAGGGATGGAGAGCAATTACCGTCTCTCTCCGGCTCACCTTACCTCATTGTATCCTCCAGGCGATGACTGCCGACGTACTCGATGTTTAACAGTCCCACTGCCATATGCCATACAAGGTGGGCAAGAGGTAGAAAAGAGTGATTGAGGGAAGTACACCATCAAAGAATGGCATTTTATGCGATAGGTGTTGATAGAACAAGCACATATAAAAGCAAAACATTCGTGAACTTAATTATTTTGGACTTTACTGAATACTCTCCAAATCTGTGGTTTCATCTCACAATGACTGCTTCTGTAGATTCAACAAAATTAATTGACGAATATGGAAGGAAAATTTCGCCGTCAACAGCATATAGAAGATCAACTAGTTCTACTACGTCATTAAGTTGACAAATTACTTAAACCTTAGCATTCACCCCGATTTAGTTATTACGGACTTGACAAATCCAGTCGGTCAAGCGAGGGCTTGGTCCGTGGGCAAGTATGGAAATCACTATTGCAATATAAACTTTTCAGGTTGGAGCCGTTGACCGCACCGACAATTAATGTGTAGCCGTAGGTCAGTCGACTGACCTTACATCGTACCCACATTTACCGCACTGGTTAGTTGTGTGCATTAACGAGATTGAGTGATAAGGTTGTGAGTAAATCATAGCTGTTGTCCACACTGTCCTACTTCCATTAAACCTTGCATTTCCTATACAGTGAAATTGGGTCGCTTAGACTGGACAAAGGATACATGGCTTACATAAACAACATCCCTCCTGACCACAGGCGGTTCAACAAACCAGCTCAAAGTCCACCAGAACAACTAACTTGATGCCAAATTAAAGTTGTCCCAATGGCTGCCTCGTTGTGCAAGTCTTAACAGACTTTCCTCAAAATGAAGGTGCAGGAGGCTGCCACAATTGCTCCTGAAGTTGGTGTCATTCTAAGGAGTGTAAAAAGCAATCACTCAATCAAAAAGATGGATTTAGGATAACTAATCTATCGAAACTACTTATGGGGATAAAAAGTCACCAACGTTAAATGGAAGCGGAATTTAAATGAACAATAGCCGTTAAAATTATACCCTATCTTGACAGTCGTAAATCTTCAATATCATCCACTTTATTTATGCCCGCGCTGCTAGATAATTCGGAGTGTTTACGAAGTTTTAAAGTGACAGTCCTGTGACCAAAAGAGGTGGATAGAGTTTTGTCAACCGCCTAAACATGTTGCCCTCGCTTATGGAAACCACGACCTAATTAGTTGACTTGATTACGAAATGTCATATTGTCTTTGCTTTGTGATGTCTAACACAAATCCACCCCCAGCTTCGTTGGATTTATCAGCAATGCTAACTTCCTGCATCGCACAAAAGAATTCGATTTTCAGCGTTGGTTTTGGAGGTTTGTTGAAGGTCTTTGATGAGGAGCGAAAGCAAAGGTTCCGGTTTAGTTCCCTTGCATGCAATAGCACTGCATAATCCTACCATTTTCTTTACCGGAAGCTCCAAAGGAAACCCAATCACAGCATTTCGGCCATTTGCTTGATCAGAGGTGAAAATAATTGTCTGCAGTTTTCGGCTACCGTAAAACCCCAAAACTAACGGATGTAATAACGTTCAGATCCAGATAAATATAGCTCTGCTATTTTGCTTCAAATTAAGCTAACCAGATCAGCAATTATGTCGAAATGATTAAGAGAGAGCAAGTTTTTCATGTTTGTGAGTTTGGATTTGACCATGGAAACTGAGGCGTCATGTCTCGCAATACAGAATAGCAATAATACTAATTTACTGAACATCTTTGACTAAAACCATTAGTTGGGACCCTTCCTTCTACAAGCTTTTTGTGGTTGCGCCATAGTGATACAAATGCGGCTAATATTTTGTTGATTTGTGCGAAAAGACTTGATTTCCCCGGGGAAATGCGAACGAGGCGAGAGGGAGAGGGAGGATGAAGAATAAAGACGATATGGGGAGGGAATGCACGGCGAAATTAAGGGTAATCAAGCCCCTTTGAATTATTGATCAGTGGGGAATTGCGCGTATTTGACAGAGCAAATGGACGCCAGACAAGAAGACGGGGCGGAGGTGGTTTTAAAGGGTGGGGGGGGG